TGACAACAACTACTTCAAGAACCTGTTGCAAAAGAAAGGTCTTCTACAGTCGGACCAAGTCCTGTTTAGTGGAGGATCCACGGATAGCATAGTCTCCGAGTATAGCAGGACCCCTTCTACTTTTAGTTCTGATTTCGCATCTGCCATGATCAAAATGGGAGATATCGAACCTTTAACTGGTTCATCTAGAATAATAAGGAGGATTTGCAGCGCTGTCAACTAATCAATGCATCTCCACCTGAGCGAAAATTAAAACTGTTACAATCTAGAAACTCACCTCTCCCTAAATTGGAGATGTTTATCTTACACTTCTCTCCTTATGTCTCTCTTATTCTTACATAAGAACTAGTCACACAATGCTTAATATGACATCACACTATGTGACCATATGGAGTTACGCAATAGCTGTAAGGCACAACTCAATGCTTTCCATGCTTCTTACATACCAGTAACACAATGCCTATGACAAGCAATGTCGACGAACTACTAACACAATGCCCTTTTAACAACTCACGCAATGAATGAAAACGAATCAGGCAATGCCTGAGTCAAGTGATTCATTGAACGCCTCGTCCGTGGTGCGACTCTGCTTAATGCCTCGTCTTAACATACTTTTCTCTTTACGGTCCATTATCTTCCTCTTTTATTGGGGACCGAATTCTATCCAACCTTCCAACTTCAATAATGGAACATATTGCTGCCCCTCGAAGATATTGACATCAATGTCGACCTAATATACGATCAACACCTCTTTTGCAATTGGCTCTAAGGTCTCGATTGTGCGCAATTGTACCAAAACATACATTGCCATTAAATTGAAAGGTAGTTAACATATGACCAAAAAAATTAAATAAAAATAAAAATAAAAATAATATGGTTTCATTCCTCACCTTACCTTCTCTCTCCAAACCTGCAATATTGATGTGGAAGCCTATGGGCCACTCCTCACAATACCATTTCAACATTTTTTGACAAATCTATCCAGATTGGTGCTTCCTTTCAAACAAGCGTTGGATATCAAGAATTGCCTCCAACAGCCAAAACTAAACGTCAATTGTAAAATATTTTACTCTCCTCATAAAATCTTATATGAAAAAAAAAATGAAAAACCTTAAGGTAGGGCACACTACTTGAAATACCCACACAAATCCCTATAAGTGGTAATGTTTCTTTTCTTCTGCGCCTACCACTAGAGGTTTGAAGCCCCTCAACAAGTAATCCATGGTCAACTCCATATGTAGGTGCCCCATGGGAACGTAATCCACTAGTCGATGCTCTTGACCAGCGATAACAACTACATAATCACTGCTCGTATGTAGTCTTGACGGAATAAAATATTGTTCGCGATCAAGACAAAGGCAATCTTTGTCACGTCTCCATCTTGCTGAATTTGCCCTCTCTTGAATGTTTTTGAAACTTGTTGTATCCTCACCTAGCTCCCTGCCCCCCAATATCGCTCATGAATTCCTCCAAGGATGGCCTTATAGGGATTAACAATAACGACTAGTAGGGTATCAAACTTCAGTCTTGTCACCAAGAAGAACTCACACTTTGAGAACCGAGTTTTCTTATTACCTATGGCAAACCATAACTTACCCTCGATGGCGTCGGGTTGATTAATTCACAATGACCTACCAACCAATAATGTAATGACCTATCAACCAGTCATGCAATGCTTAACCCAATAACGCGCAGCTTAAGTGACGCCATGACTAAATCCAATCATACATAAGGTATCACCCACTCACACAAGCCTTCAGTCACGCAATACCTAAACTTTAAAACCAATTCCTATCAACCAGTTACACATGCCCTGTCACCGTTTAAGCCAAAAAACACCAATAATACTAAATTCAAATTTGTGTTCAACAATTTCAAACAACAAAAATATCTATATGAACAAGCAATATGCCAACGTTTATGCTCAAAAACTATAAATGAATAACATGAAGAATAAGAATAGCCCTAAACCTTTCTCTAGATAGTTAAAAATAAAAATATATGCCTACCTTTTTTCGCTGAATGTGAACTTTCTCTCACTGCTCAATATGTGAACTACCTTTATGCGAAAAACCATTCCAAAATACTTTTATCACTGCTCAAAATGCTCGACAGTTGAACCGGCGAGGAATGCTCTCGAGAGAATACTTTGTAGGAAGATGTATGGCTTGTAAATGAGAACTGAGGAGTTACAAAGCTCGTAACCATATTGTACTCGTTAATATACGCCAGGTTGAGGTGAGAAGCCAAATATATGAGTTGGTTTTCTTAAAGATAATTTGGTCTTAATTTTTTTTCTCTTGATTAAAAATAAATAAAATTATGAAGAGACCTATTTTTAAAAATTCCTTAAGTATAGGGCCTATTTTTTTAAAAAACTTAATAAAAAGTTATATTCCAATCTTTATAGGAAATGTTCGCTGTCAAAAATTAAAAAAGAAAGCTCGGACTAAACCCAAAATACAAATAAAGGACCAACTTGTATCTAATAGTAAAAGTTGATGTCCTATATATGACTTTAAATCTCTAATTAGGCAGAGTGTAGTTTCTATTTCTATAATTTTATTTCACCTTTTTTTTAGCCAAAAAAATATGTCAATTGTCCCACTGAGAAGTGAGAAATAACTTTATTTTCTGTAAATAGTTACAAGACTTTTACTTTTAAAAGTAAAAAATAAAATTTTTTGTATATCTTAAATAAAACAATATTTTTGAGCAATTTTATTAAAGAATTTAGCTTTCTTGGGAAAAAATAGCTTTCCATGAATAGTAAAATGAATTATTTTATTTATAAATACGACAATTATGTTACTTTATAAGTTCTAGTTAGTACATTTACTTTACATGGAAAAATAGTATTGATCCTGAAAAGGACTCATAAACGAAAGCTAATCTTACACGGAGATGTCCAACTTCGGCACTTGAGATTTTTTTTCTTTCCGCTTTTACTAATAAAATGTTAGCAACTGGTCATTTGGATAATGCATGGCTTAAGGATAAGGACTAGTTACCACACAAGAAGAGCCACCTATTATTAACAACAAGGAAGAGCACTGAGATGCAAACAACATGCCAAACAGTCTGATAAAACATCAATTAACAACTTAATTTTGGTCCCTTTGATTTTGTATAATTGTATTATAACGAAAATTTCCGCGTCCAGTTGTAACTCCATGCAAGCCATATTCGAATGGGTCATATCCCCAAGACCATGTCAAGATTGAAAATTTCTTAGGCGACACACGGTCAACGGAGACCTTGACTAGCAACTCTTATCCTTCTACCACTGCTCTATAAAGTGGAGTGAGCTACCAAGCTCTCTGTCATCTTCCTTTCTTCACATTTTCCCTAGCTTTTGTGTATTAACATTGCGAAAGCTCTACCTTGGTTGCTTAACAAATCAAAACATAGCTTGCATTTTTTTGCAAGGAACAGAAAAATGGTCACAGTATTTAGAAACTCTTTGTCACGCCAAGCGAATAGAGTTGCTGCTGTGGTGATGCTGCTGCTTTTGAGCAGCGCATGCCAAGCAAAACTTTCTTCTACTTTTTATGAAAAGACATGCCCAAATGCACTTAGTACCATTCGAAAAGTCATCGGAAAGGCTATTGCACGAGAGCGTAGAATGGCTGCATCTCTTGTTCGCCTTCATTTCCATGATTGCTTTGTTCAGGTACTTGTTTGCATGTGTATACGTAACATAAAGCAAATTAATGTTTTTTATAACCTCCGTATTACCAGCATAGGCATGGATTATTGTAACTAGTTAACGAAGTCTCTTGCATGCCCTTGTTCATCAGGGATGTGATGCCTCAATCTTACTTGATAATTCCCCTTCAGTCACAAGCGAAAAGTTTGTACCTCAGAACAACAACTCTGTAAGAGGTTTTGAAGTCATTGATCAGGCAAAATCTGCGGTGGAGAAAGTATGTCCTGGAGTTGTGTCTTGTGCTGACATCCTTGCAGTTGCAGCCAGGGATGCCTCTGAATACGTAAGTAATTGCTGAATATAAAACCTTCTGAAATCTAGATACTTCACTTGTCAATCATATTGAATATTCTGATGACTGATTAAATTCTCTCATCAAACAATTCAGGTAGATGGCCCATCTTGGACAGTGAAGCTTGGACGAAGAGATTCTACCACTGCAAGCCCAAGTCTGGCTAGCAGAGACCTTCCCAGTTTTACAGATAGCCTTGAAAGCCTTATCTCTCTCTTTAGAACCAAGGGTCTTACTGCAAGGGACATGGTTGCTTTGTCAGGTTTGTGCACAAATTATTCATAACAAAATCCTTACAATACACTTCATTATCCTTGTAAACAATCACTGATAAATTAGCTTTAAACCATGTGCAGGGTCTCATACTATAGGACGAGCTCGATGCTTAACATTTCGTGAAAGGATATACAGCAGCGGAAGTAACATCGACGCTAGATTTGCTAGCAAACGCAGGTGCCGTTGTCCCGCCACTCCTGGCGATGGTGATAGTAATTTGGCATCACTCGATCTGGTTACGCCCAATTCCTTTGACAACAACTACTTCAAGAACCTGTTGCAAAAGAAAGGTCTTCTACAGTCGGATCAAGTCCTCTTTAGTGGTGGATCCACAGATGACATAGTCTCTGAGTATAGCAGGAACCCCTGTACTTTCAAGTCTGACTTTGCAACTGCCATGATCAAAATGGGAAATATCCAACCTCTAACTGGTTCAGCTGGGATAATAAGGAAGATTTGCCGTCGTGTCAATAATTAGTTAATATACTTCTCCAGATGTGGGAAGCTTAAAATTTCGACATCCTTAAAAGTTGTCCTGTCTCTTCCTCAATTATTAGATGTTAGTTTTCCTCCTTTTTTTTTTATTTGTACCTTTTCCAACTCGTAGTGTCATAATAAATATTGGAGTTTAGCTTTTTTTTTAATCAAATTTATTTAAGTTACTCTTTTGAAATTATGAATAAAGTAGTTTTTAATATATATTTTTTAAATTTTCGGTTGATCAAATATTTAAAATAAATAAGATAAAAATTAAAAATAATGACTTAAATAATAAAATATTCAGTGACAATTTTTTCAAATGGCTTGATTTGACGTTAAAATTGAGTCTTCACTGAATTCGGAAATCCGTAGAAAAATGAGGCTAAGAATAAGTCTAATCCGTAGCCAATGGCTTTTCTAACAGACTTCAAATCGTGATATCTATTGATGACTACAACCATATCTAGAAGGTTAATGCTTGATGGAACTCTCAACATTTTTTTATTTATTTCTGCAAAGCTCCCTGGAGTAAAGGGGAATTGCTTATGTCAACAAAAGATGTTCGAGACCAATTTCCTTGGAAATCTTCATCAGAATGGAGGAGGTCAATTCTGATTGATTTAATTTATATTACCATCCCGACTTGAATATGCAGCTAACCATAACATTGATTCTCCAACACTCTCCTGAGATAATATCTTTCATAACCTTTATTGGACCACATTTTACCATCTGGAGCCAAGTGTTTGGCTTTGCATTGGTGGGCTGTGACTTTGCATGGGTACTGAGTCATAGTTGAGTCAAGTTATTTACGGATTTGAGTTGTGGTTGAGTTGACTGAGTCAAGTTGTTTGCTTATTGTTATCAGGTTAATAACTAAATTCAAAAATTTACCCGGCCAACAGAATTTTTTAGCTCTTAAACACTGCTAGAAAAACTGTCATAATAATACGAATAAACAGTTTTGATGATGGCTAATGAATATTCTTGCTTCTTAGAGTGAATTCTGATATCATTCCCGTTATCAGTTATAACAATCATCATACTCATCAGAATCAAAAACGTACTTGGTTAGATATATGTATAGACAGTGTTAATAAAAAAATGAGATATATGCATACACAATATCAAAAGATTCCTCCAGAAAAGACTTTGGAGACGACAACGCAGATACTAGAAGAGCCTTCAAACAAGCATTCATGGTAGCCAATGGCGAGTAATGGGTTCCCTGGAAAGCAGACTGACAATCATCAGCAGCTGCAGCAGCAAGACCAGCCAACTTAGACAATTAAAAGAAACTCTCGTAGTTCAAGTCATTGTGTGCCTCTTCAAGTGCCGAAACCGCCTTGTGGTAATCATGTTGGCAAATCTTGAGGCGTTTGCTGCTGGCGGCGGAGGTGTTGTTGTCGTTGAGCAGCTCAGCATTGTGGTCTTGGGTGGCGGTGGCATTCAGGTAAGCCAGACCAAAAGAAACATAAGCCAGCTGGTAGGCATCAGCAGGTGGAGTTCGAGGATCAGAGTAGAGAGCCTTAACGCAGAATGTGTAGTTGAACGTTTGGTTGGAAACCTTGTACCCAAGCTTTGTTGGGCTGTTGCTGGTGGCTGCAAAGGATGTGGAGAGGCTGCAACACAAGAAAAAAGAAAAACCCAAGATGAAGTCCGACCATTTCTTATGGATTAAATTTGCAGCCCGGAAACTTTTGAGAAATATTTAAATATAGGCTATCAGCTTTTCTTCTGCTCATCCTTGCTTTAATCTAGATGTAATTAGAGTAATTAAAGGCTTGTTAAGTAGGCATTAGGAGATTGGTATAAGTCATATATATAAGGAAGAGAACAAAATTTCTGATTTTATGACTAATTTAAGATTTGAGTTAAATTCTGATATTTTCAAAATAAGTGTATTCTCTATTCTTGAATGATGAATGATATGATGGAAGTTTGTGTTTCACTTTTGATTAATTAATAAATTTTTTTTCTTAAAAAGATAATGTCCGCAGCTCAAGCTAAGGTCATTTTTAAAAGAATCTTAAAGACTAAAAGAATATCTTTAAAAAAAATCTAATTTTAGAAAACAGAAAGAGTTGAGAGAAGGGCTACAGGCCATAGCCCATAGCAGCATAATTAGCATAATAATATCTAATTCAACTGCTTTAATTCAAAATTATTCACCTACGCTTGGACTTCCCCAACGAGTCTAGCCAGCTGCCTATCGGTTAATTATGCCCTTAATTATCTTTATTTATTTAATTATCAGCCATGAACCCATTAATAAAATTAAAAACTCCAATATAATCCTCTTTGGATAATACTAAATTAATAGAGAGTTGGTGATTAAGATGCAATTCATGAAAAGAGTAAAAGGCAGTGCATGCGAATAGAATTATCCATAACCAATATTTGTTTGTAACTAGGATAAGATACAATGTGGCGTGCCACATGCTTGCTCTGGTACGTGAATTTCTTTCATAAACGATGTCGTTAATTGGACAGGGACGAAATCATCTTTGAATGAAAGGAAAAAGATGTTTACTGCTAAAGAGACAATTACATCTTTTGCTATAGGCTGCCATACTTGCCTATTGTTTTGGCTTTTTCTGTTGCTTTTGTTATTTAACAGAAATCTTTCAGCCTTCGTTAAGTTTTTTTTTTTTGAATTTTTAAGTTTTAATTTTTTTAATTGAATGGGGAAAAATTCGAATTTTATTTTTTAAATAAAAAAAGTACATATTCATCAATAAATCAAATATTTCAATGCAATTTTAACATTTTTACTTTTAAAGTTTGTTCAATTTTGTATTTATTGATCCTATTTTAATGCTTCACTTCAAGTCTCAATTTGGATTTCTCATCAAAAAGTAATTTTCGGTGAAGCGAACGAGTGGTGCCGACGATTTTACTCTTGAGGTGGGGGATTCTCCAACTGTTGGGATTTTTCTGTTCAATTTTCATGTGTGATTTGGGACTTAATGTGCCTGCAAGAGATCTTTCAATTCATTAAAAGGTACTAATTATAGTCGTTAATTCAGTTTTAAGCTAATCATAATCTTTTGGTTTACTTTGGAATTTGATGCTTAGATTGCTTTCCTTGTTTTGATCGTAGAATCTTCATGGTTGTCGAGATGCACAAGTGATTCTTCAAAAGAGAAGTTAAGAAGCTATGCATTATCTACAGGTACAGTGTCATTGTCTATAATTTTATTAGTATGTGCACTAATTATTAACTCTTAAAAATCTTAAAATCTACTTATTAAGTTCTAATTGAACATTTGTGTTTTCCTCATATTCTTCTCATTTTTCACAAGTTACAAGCAGTTCTTCGTACGAGAAACCAAAGGTGGAGCGGAGGGTGGCCAGTGCAGGCTCAGCCTCCCAATAATTTTAAAAATTTTCACTTACCTCTTATTTTTTGGACACTTTATAATTCCACACCTATAAAAATTTTAAAATTTTTCTAACAAAATTTTTTTAAAATTTTATAATTTTGTTCTTACAATAATTTTTTATTAAGTGAGATGTCCCACTACAATTAGTTAACAACTAATTTTAATAAGACTAAAATAAAACTAATTACAATATAATTATTCTCAAACCTTATTTTTTCGAAACCTCAAGACCACCACCTCTTGTTTTCTTTTTTTTTTTTATCAAATACTATGGAAACAGAAAAAATCTATTTTTTTTTTTACCTTTTTTACTTGCTAGCATTCTTTGTACAATAAACCTCTAGTCAGAAACTCAATTTTCATACTAGCATTTTTTGTGCAATAAACCTCTACTCAGTAACTTAATTTTCATATCATGATAATTGATAAGTTTGATTTATTTACTTATTTTATTTTTAATATTTTAAATTTTAAATTTTTTTTCATTTAATAATTTTTATTTGGTGATTTTGATTTAGAATTTATTGTCTTAGTCATTTTTTATTAAAAGCAACAGAACAAGGATTTGATTTAGCACCTAAGGTTAGTTATTACTTATTTATTTAGAGATTGCTTAATTGTTTTCCTACAAATTATTTGTTTTTTTTTTGTTGAAATTATTGTGAACAATTAAATGTTTTATTCTGGAATTGCTTCCTCATTGAATTGTTAATAAATATTGTATTTAATTTTTGTGATTCATTTTAGAGAATTGCTTCCTATTGAATTGTTTATTGATAGTCTTTAATACTTTTTAGGAGATTGCTTCCAATTGAGATTTTTATTATTCTATTTGTTAATTTTTATTTGTTGCTAAGTTTATTTTGAAATTGAGATTATTGTCATTATTAAATTATTTATGATTATACTAGTTAACTCTTTTAAATAAATTATTAAGTTTGATTCCTTAGAATAATTTTCAAGATTTATTTGTATAAATTTCATATGAACTTTTTCATTTAAGTTTTATATTTTTGTCAAACATTGAACTTCTAGTATGACTGTTTTAGAGAAATTGTTTTTGGCTCTTTACTCTCCAAATACGAAATTTTAACTCCGTCACTGCAAAAAACTAATTGATTCCTCAAGAATATACAACAAAGAAGGAAATGTTATCGGCACCTGAAGTGCTAGAACATGAAAAAAAAAATTGTTAATTAAAAGCTATAGAAAAAAAAAATGTTGGATAGAGACTTTGTTTTTTATTGTCATGATGAAGTAAAAAAAATAAAAAAGAAAAAAAGGAGAAAAAAATGAGGAATTTAGGGAGGCTAGGATATTTGTTTGATTGTTTAACTATAATGAGCAGTGACTAGATCAGGTTCACTTGTAAAGTTATGGATTATTTTGAAAATTTTGAAAGGAACTCTGATTTGGATTTTTTTTGTTGTGTGACAATGTGTGGTCTTGTGTTTGTGCAGTTAAGCATTATTAGAGATGTGATTGTTTCTGGATTTGAAGACTATGAAGTTTTGCCCATTTTATTCTTTCTTTCATTTTCATGGGTGATTATGCTCTTTCCTAGACAATTGGTAATTTTTAGTGGGAGTTTGGTGGGAAAAGGGAGGAGTGGGACAAGGATGGAATGGGAATATTAACTAGTCACTTAATTTTTACAATATAATAACGTAGCTGCTTCAAATTTTGAAATTAATAGCAACGTTGATTCACACCTACGAAATTTCTGTAGAAAAACGAAAAACAGAAGTCAATGAT